ACCACAACAGACTTACCAGCTTCATGCAGCTCTCCAAGCTGCCGGCTGTGCTCCTCACTGCCTACGTGCTGCGCTGCAGCTGCACACATGCACAGGCCATTTATCAGCCAAATTAACGGCTGTATTGGCCAATTTCCAATACAGACAATTTTCTTTATATGGGTGCCGATCCGATATTGGACCGATGTATCAGTGTGCCTCTATAGAATTCCCATCTGTCTTTCATGACAGTTTCTAATAACCCAAGACATCACAATCGATAAAGAAACCCTGGGCATCTATAGGACGTTCCTCCACACTCCTACCAGGCGTAGACTAGGAACTCCTACCTGGAAGCTGCGATCTCAGATTTCTGTCTGGCGATGGCTGCTGCCCTCTGGGCCCCCTCCACATTCCTGTCCACCTTCTGCCTGATCTTGGCACTCTTCAGAGGTATCACTCGCTTCTTCATACCCTTGATCAGGACATTATACCTGTACTTGCCTTCTTCCTTCTTGCCATCAGGCATTGTGGTGCAGCCGTAGCCGTGCCGCAGATTGTCCAGCCACTCACCCTCATATTTCAGGCCGCTCGATCTCTCACTCACCCCAAAACCTGAGCGCTTGTCATTCTTCCATTCACCCATGTAGGTCTCCGTGGTGGTAGCATCAATGTCCGACTCAAAGGGTGGGAACTCTTCGCCTTCCGCCCCCTCTCCCAAGCTGACAGTGGAGGTAGCATCACTGGCGGCAGAGCTAATGCCGCTCTCACTCTTGAGGAAACTGATTCGGCTCTTCTGGCTGGCCAAAGACGTCTTGGATTCAGATTTCTTTAGCTTCCCCAGCAGAGAGCTCCGTCTGAAGAGGCCCCCTTTCTTCGGCTTGCCAACTTCAGCATCTGAATATAGGCTGAGGGCAAAGCCTCCCCGAGTGATAGTGGGGGACATGGGGATGCTTTCCTGGTTAGCTGCTGGGGAGTCCTGTTGGGGCAACGTGCCATTGCTGTGCTCACTACGGAGGGAAGAAAGGGAGGTTCGGAGAGGAGAGCGGACCACGGATGCCATGCCATAGGGCACGCTCTGACGGACACCATATCCATGACGCATGCCATTGGTAAACTGGCCTTGGTAAGTTCCTAAAGGCAAAAACAAGGACCTAGTTAAATAAAGCAATTTCTTTTCCCCCAAACAGGCAGCTCAGTACAAGGAACATGTATGGTTAATTGCATCATTGGAAGACATCCTGTCTGCCCTCCTGCCCATGCACCGTCCCATGGTCTGTGTGAGGAGAAAGACGTCATACCTGCATGTGCACATATGAGTTTGGAAATGTAAGGGTCCATCTTGGCAAGAGGCCAGATGAGAAGAAGCTAGACATCACTGATGCTGGCAGCCTACTGGTGTTCTCCTTTAGCTGACTAACTAAAGCCTACAGGCTCAATTCTGATCTTGCTACATCAGCTCAAAACTTCCTTTACGCCAGCGTGGCTGGAAGCAGAAGCTGCCCTCAGCACAGCTGGAGTTTTAAGTTGCATGCCCTGTCCCTGATGACTGATAGCCATCTCAATTGTTCTGTACATGTGCATAATCTGCTAACTAGCTCTTCCACAGCATTCTGACAGCCCTTGCAGTCCAGTCACATAATTAGGGGTGGGCAAGTGGCCAGCAACTTAGAGAAAGCACAAGACTGGCAGCTGCCACTGCTGCCTACCTGAGTGCCACCACTACAACCCAGGGCACAAACATCCAAGTTAGTAGCTACACCTGTTTCAGTCCACTTCCCTGCTCCACAGCTTGTGATTCACATTGTTACCCATTGTTCACTCTCTATGCAGTGAACTGGAGGACAGATGCGTGTTGGCCAGTTGAGCAGAAGGGCAATATTAAGGAAAGAAGATCTTTTGTCTGAGGCACTGAACTGACCCGAGTCCAGTTTCTGGTTCTTCCTGTGTGACTGTGGGTAAGTCACTTTGTCTCTTCAAGCCTCATTTCCGCATCTGTAAAATGGAGATAATGATACATCCCTACTTCAAAGGGATGTTGGAAAGAACAAAGGTGCTGGAGACACTACCAAGACTAGGCATAAAAAGAGCTTAAACAGATGCCGGGGAGACTTTAAGAGACAATTTTGTAGGGACTATGCATTGGAGAACCACTCTCCCCAACATGGGGCTTTCACTGCACAGCATCTTGGCCTGTGATTTCTGTATGAATTTTCTTTCCTGGCTCCAAAAATACAGCAAGTCATCATGAGTAAATTTATTTTTGTGAGGTATAAGGAATGAGAGACCAGCCACACTTCAGAGGGGTTCGCAGCACTGACCTGAGGGTAGGAATTAAAAAATATTTTCTCCCTTCCCTACCTCTCCTACATGGCCTTAGATGGTCAATTTTAGTGTCCTTTTTTGCATTGGGAACTAAGAGTTCTTACTCAACCATCACAGAGGTCTCAAAATCATCTTCTGGGTCTGCCTGTTCACAAAGCTCAGACGGGGTCTTCCCTCGGGGAATTCCTCCATTTTCCCTTGGGCTCTTGGAAAAGAAGCCCTCAGTGATGTGGAGCCAGAAAGGCCACCCTTAGGCCAAGCGCACAGAGCAGAACTGACTTTGTAACTCATCAGCAGGAGGCTCTGCAGTGGCAGGAAAACTGTGCGGGCTGCAACTTGCCTCATTCATTGCTTCAGATTGGAACCAAACTACCCCTTGGATAAGCTACCATTCTGGCTCAAAACATGACACAACGCATCGGGAGACTGGGAATCGCTCTCCAACTGTCTGAAAAACCACAAGCCTGTTTATGGCTGTGGGGAAAGTTAGCTCCCAGTGCCTCAGATCCAGAGCTTTAAAACCAGGATAATAATTCTGACTTATCTTGGGGGTTGCTGTGAGGCTTCAGTTACTAATGTCCAGCTCCTCCCTAGGATCAGCAATGAAGAAAGACAGCCTGGTCAGCAGGGAAAGTCTTTATTTGCTGGGTTGTGGGGTAGAGGTGGGGAGAAGAAATACTGTGGGGCCTTAACACTAAATGATCTGAGAGAAGCTGAGTGTCACTGCTGAGGCCAGTTCAGAGACTTGTCAAAAGTGAACCCATTTTCTGCCCAGCAGATACCCCAGAATGCTAATTTTCCTCACTCAAAAATCCCTCTCTCCCTGGGTTTACCTCATTCTGTTGATATGGTTGCTACAGTAACTGGCAAGCCACCAAAAGCAGCATTCAGCTCTGCCTCCATCCATCACCCAGCTTTACAGAGTCCAGAATGGACCATCCCTTCCTGAAATCAGTAAAATGCAGGGCAAAACTCAACCCCCCAGGCTTTGCACAGACAAGATATCTTTAGATGAAAGGTACTAATGGAAGGCAAATGCTAATTACAATTTGCAAAGTAGGACCCCCTTGAAGGGTGAAGACAAATGGCCAACTGTGCAGGGGGCATTTTCATGGGCATCTACAGTAAATAGCCTGCTTTCCAGTAAACTGGGACAGGATTCCTTGTCAGTGATTTACTGGGAAGTGGCAAAGTACAATAAGCAAGCACTGCCCCAGAGAAGGGCATAGCCAGCATCCACCCCACAGCATGATCAGCTGTTGGGACCCCTGCTCAGCAAACCAGCATCAGATAAAGGTAGTGGCACAGTATATGTTGCTCCCATTAACTTTTCCTTCTCATCTTCCAGTTGTGCTAGAAAGAAAAGGATCAGCTTGGCTCCAAGAAATTAAATTCCACTGTTCAAACTGCTTTATTCAACCCTGGGATGATCTTGCCCCTAGGAGAGATTCCAATTCCTTCTTTGGTAACTATGGGAGTGAGTATTTTATGGTCTCCGTGACCAGTTGAATAGAATAATCTTTATTCCCTAGTTTATGGTTTTGCTGAAATCCATTTTAGACCTGCATGCAGGATGTTCACGTACACGGCACAGAGGCAGGAAATACAAGTGCTCAATTCCAGCGCTAGGTGCAGCAGAGTAGCAGCAGTACAAACGCCATCCCTCCCTACCAAAGTGCCTCCAGCAGCTGGCTATCTACCTCCTTATATTGCAGAATGACATCAGGGCACTAAACTCAGGGTTAGAACCACAACTAAAGTCAAAGGGGAATTAATTTGCTATGAAGCACATACAGGTTTTTTTGTGCCTGCTTTACAAAAAGATCATTGTGTGCTAGAGTACTGGGGGTGGCTATTTGTGCGATGTGGTGGCCTACCCAGTAGGAACAACCTACCATGGTAAAATGTCCACTCAACCAGACTGCCCCATTTCTAAAACCATACTAGGAAACAAGGTGATGGACAAGGCATGGCTGTGAAGCCAGAGGCCTGGACTTCCTTCCCACCCTCCCACTCACAGGTGAGAGTATGAAGGAGTTACTTGAGGTCCCTGTGCTCCTGAGTTCCCATCTGCACAAAAGGTCACTGTCACCAGTTTTAAATACAATGAAGGCTGTCTAAATAACTACAAATACTGCATATGACTGGCCTTTGAACTCAGTTGCTTTGTCTCTGCTCAGTGGCTGCAGCCTGAGAGCAGAGCTGACCCAATAGCACATAACATTAATGACCTTTCAGTGCTTTTAGAAGTCTCCATGCAATGCTGTTGCATTATTAAGCAGCTTGAAGTCTCTGAGGCCTAGAGTGGTTAAATGACCCATCCAGGGTCACAGAGTAATTCAATAAGAGAGTCAGAACTATCCATGACACATATTGATCCTCTGACTCCTACACCTGTGCTCTGTCAGACAACGCTACCCCTCGCCAGGTTCGGCACGCACCATCCACACTAGAGGGACGGGATTTTGAAAAGTCCTAATGTGTCAATGGGATTTGGATTCCTAACTTCTTTAGGCATGTTTGAAAATGCCCCCAGGTCTTTAATTGGATTAACTGAAGCGTTTTAGAACTCCTTTAGCATGATTCAGGCTGCTGGATTTAAATGTGGGTGATCCAGCCAAAGTTTCTGTACTCATTTTAAATTGATTTTAGACCCAACCATGCTCACCAGCCAAATTTGGTTTAAACAGAGTTTATTGAACTAATATAGATAAATGCCTTGTGTAGATAGTGCCTGAACGTGAATGCAAGGGCAGAGGAGACAAGGCACTAGAAGTCCTTGACTAAGCTCACAATGTGCTTGTGAAGAGACAAGGATTCCCAGCTTTTTGTTTTTCCATGTCACTTCCCAAGCTGTAATTTATAACGTCTCACAGAGGCTTCACCCTTTTGTCCACCAAGAGCCATAAAACAAGCGCCAGAGCTTTGCAGTGTGACTATTGTGAGGAGTTAGAAAACCTGTGGCAGCTGCCATAGAGCAGCCGAAAGTTATGAAGCCAGCGAGCAGTAGAAAGGCAACTTATTGCTACTGTAACCAGGCCGGTCACATAGCAAGGAACAGCATATGGGAACAACCAAGAGGCAGGTGTTCCCATATCTCCTCAGCAAGGACCCCTATGAGGAAAGGGAAGCAGGGGGCAATGGGGAGACACCCTGAGAAAGTAGCATAGAAACGACAGAAAAAATGTTAGCGTTGACCTTTACTCGCAGTCAGCCGGCCCCCAAGAATGCCAATGTCTTCTCATTCGCACTCAGGTAGAGCAGGGGCAGGCTCTGTTGCAATCCATAGGGTTACAGTGGTATAAAAGTCAAGTTATTGAAGAATAGCAGCCAGTGATTAGCCCTGGGTACAAGGAATCAGGGCTCCTGGGTTTTAACCAGACTTTGCCTGAACTTGCTATATGACCTTGGATAAGTCCCTTCATGTTTTTCTGACTTATTTTTCCCGTATGCAATTAGAGATAAACCAGATTTTCCTTCCAATGGGAGGTGTTTGGAGACTTGCACCTTGTTACAAAGGGAAGTTGAAAGTGGCTGAAAAAACAATTATATAAAGGTGCAAACCTTTATATAAACACTTTCATTCCTGTTTAAAGAGTGCCTTATTTCGGTTTAGCTTAGTTTGTTATGGAATCCCATAGAAAAGAATGAGTTTTTACTGCAAATTAACTGATTCCCAGTTAAGGCTACACCTGCACAGGTAGAATATGGTATGTTTTTACTGTGGATAACCAGGGATCCAGGTTTTCCATTTGCTATGGAAAAACGCAAATTTTCTCCCTTAATCGCGAATTTTCTCTTTAAAGGAG